TTTTAAATTAATATTTAACCTGGGTTGGAGATATAGCTCAGTTGGTAGAGTCCTTGCCTAGCATGCATAGAGCCCTATGTTCAATCCCCAGCACCTCATAAACTGGGGCTGATGGTACATACCTGTAATCCCAACACTTGAGAGGTGGAGGCAGGAAGATCAAGAGTTGAATATTGAGTTTGAGGCTAGCCTGGGCTAGAGACCCTGTCTCAAAAAAATATATGTAACAATAATAATGATAAAAGCATGCATATCTTGCTAAGAGCAGTGGCTCAGCTCTGTGCCTTTTACTATTCTCTAGTTAGTCACAGCATTTACTGTAACTTGGTAACAGGCACATTTGGAGGGTGGATAGACAAGTTATCATGGAGTTAGGCCCACCTGGCTTTCATGTGGGCCCTAGCAACTGCTTCATTTGGTATTGATATGGGAAGAGGACCCTTCTCAGTGTAATGAAGCCTTTCCCACAGTCCACCCGACTGGTGTTCCCCTGGGAAAATCTCCTGTGTGTGTTTCTCTAATTGAGTCTCTCTCTCTTTATGTATGTCTGTGTCTGTATCTGTCTGTCTGTCTCTCTCTCTCTTTCTCTCTGTGTCCATGTTCATGTGGAAGCCAGAAGACATCTTCTGGTATCATATCTCAGGTGCTATCCACCCATCTGTTTCTTTCTTTTTCTTTCTTTCTTTCTTTCTTTCTTTCTTTCTTTCTTTCTTTCTTTCTTTCTTTCTTTCTTTCGAGACAGGGTCTTGTGAAGTACTTCCAGCTGGCCTGGAACTCATTATATAGACCAGGCTAGCCTCGAACTCACAGAGATCTGTCTACCTCTGCTTCCTGAGTACCAGGATTAAAGGTATATGTCTCCATGCCCAGTCTCAGGAAAATTATGATTTTTAGGCCTAGGTTGCATGGAGAATGGACAGCTGTGTAGTAATGAAGCTGGGCAGAAGACTTTGATTCAATGGCAGTAACCTGAGGGAGAGAACCAGCAAGACCTCTGTTCAGATTCTTCTTGGACTTGGTAGCATTCTTTTCTCCTGAGTGTGGGGCAAGAGCCACCTGGAATGAGTGTCACATGATCTACTGTCAAGCCACGTCAGAGAATTTCTTTATGGCCAACTCCTGTGCAGAAATTCAGGGAGAGGTTAGCTCAATATTCCTGGGCCCTGGGAAGAGGTGTTTTAGTTTCTATGGCCCACGATGAAGTCTGGTTTCAGTGACTGACTGGGAGAGTCAAAGTGATTCAGGAGAAGGTCAGTGTGTCTGAGGCTATTTCTGAGGCATCCTTCAGTTCGAAGGACTCAGCATATCAAAACATCATACTGTGGGGTATTGTCATCTGAGTGCCAGCCATCAGATGGGGGGGGGCAGTTCCCACAGGAAGCAGTTCTTCAGTTCTCTCTGGGCACCAAATGGGCATCCTATACCTTGACTCGGTTCCAACCTATCTACCTGGAGCTGGTGTCATACTTCACTGTCCCACCACACTGCCTAAATGCCTGTTCCAAGCCAAGCCTGGGATGTACTTCTGGTTAATGTGGCCCTACTGGTGCCTGTGTTGATTGCTGGGTTGGCTTGCAGAAGTTAGGAGAAGAGTTTACTTACTGAATCTCAACTGTATTATAAAAGACGCAACTCAGGAACAGGCATGAGGGCAGATGTGGGGATAAAACCGGGAGCCCCCATGATCCCCTTCCTTTTGGGATTTATGGATGTTTTATTTTGATGAGTGGGCTCATGGGCCACAGTAGCTCTTTTCTACCTCAGGGTCTTTGTGTTAACTGTTCCTTATGCCTGAAAGAGACCTTGGCCAGAGCTTGCAGAGGCCACCTCCCCTTCATTAGGGCTTCATTCAGCTGAGCTGGAGCTGGAGCTCAGTTGGCAGAACACTTTCCCTGCATGCATGGTGCCCTGGGTTCTATCCTCAGCACCAGATAAACCAGTTGTAGAGGTGCAGGCCTGTAATCCCAGCACTCTGGAGGTAGAACCAGGAGCACAAATTCAAGGGCACCTATGGCTATGTATGGAGTTCAAGGTCAGCCTAAGGGCTTCCTTCACCTCAGAAGGCATTTCCTCAGAGGGCTTCTGGGTCACCCTATCTGGCCAGGTCCTTCCTGGTAACCTGATCATAACAGCCTCTATGTTAAGAGACAAAATTACAATAAACCTAGGTCAGCACTGGCTTTATTCAAGATCCTGGAATGAGGCAGCAGCCCAGATCAAAGATGGTCAGAATACCCATTCTGCTATGCAGGCACCAAGTTTTACTTAAAACCAGAAGAAATCAAGTGATGTACAGAAAAAGAAAGTGAGGTTCAAAAGACAGCCTCTTCTGTCTCATTAGAGGATGGGTGAGCAGTTTGTGATTGACTAATGTAGCAGGCCCCTGACTAAAAGACATCTATCTTACCATCCTACGTGACCTGGCCTAGTTATTTTCCAGTTTCCCTGAAATTGCCTACACCCTATAGGGACTAGGAATTCTTAGAAGCTGCCACCTGTCTGGCAGAGATGAGATAAGCTGTTGCCTAATGCTGTATGTGCTTCTGTCCATGCTTGCTTGCTTGCTCTGGGGGTTGGTAATAATTTTAAACTTTTACTGACTTATGCAAATATGTGCTTGAGTTTGAACCATGATGATTAGCCCCTTGTGAGAAATATCTATGTATAAAAAGTCCTTGCAGCTGGGCGTGGTGGCGCACACCTGTAGCCCCAGCACTTGGAAGGCAGAGGCAGAGGCAGGAGGATCTTTGTGAGTTCAAGGGCAGCCTGGTCTACATAGTGAGTTCCAGGACAGCTGGGGCTAAAGGAAGACCCTGTCTCAAAAAGACCAAAAAAAAAAAAAGTCCTTGCAGACTCCGTTTGGGGCTGCTCTCTGTATTCACTCCCAGAGTGCAGGGACAGCTCTGCTGTTAATAAAATCCTTCCTACTTCGTGGCTGAATTCTTGGCCGTTATCAGACTATAACAACTGAGATTCAGGGCTTGTTTCAAGAGTAGGTTATAGCCTGTTTCCACATCAACTTCAGTTACAGTTCACTATGTAGGCAAAAAACCTTTAAGCCAAACTTAAAATGTTAGAGGTAGCATTTAGATAAACTTATCATCACTCGTTTGAATTTCACACAAATTTTGTATCCATTCTCCTCCTCCCTTTCCTCTTCCTCTACTTCTTTCTGGCAATTGTTTGAAAATGGCTACAGAGGCAGAGTCAGACCATTGAGCTCATGTGCTTTGCTGATCCCTGCTGAATACCATTTTCCTGTTATATTTTTAATCTTACCAGTATCTGAAATTATCTTATGTATTTGTTCAGTGGTCTATTTTTTCCTGTCTTTCCTAGTTGGACATAAGCTCACTGAAGGCAGGTTCTTTGTTGAATCTACTGTGTTATCTGTAAAACAGAAACAGCACATGCTGTATAGAATGTGGAGGTTGGATGAAATCATTTATAATTCAAAAAATCACTGCATCTGATAAAATCTTGACTTAGATTATCTTTTATTTATTTGTGTGTGTGTGTGTGTGTGTGTGTGTGTGTGTGATGTATGTGTAGTATGTGTAGTGTTTGTGGAGGCCAGAAGAGGGTGTTAGAATGTGTAGTGTTTGTGGAGGCCAGAAGAGGGTGTTAGAACCCCTGGAGCTGGAGTGACGGGTCATTGTGAGCTGTCCAATGTGGGTGCTGGGAACCAAACCAGGGTCCTCTGGAAGAGCATCAAGTGGACTTAATCCATCCATCGAGACCTCTACTTTCATTTAGAAGATGCTATTATTTAGCTTTCTAGAAGACAGGCTGTTATTTCACTTTTTTGAGACAGGGGATCTCAAGCAGCCTAGGCTAACCTCAGACTTACTGTGTAGCTGAGAATGACCTTGAACTTCTCTGATCCTTCTGTCTCCACTTCCTAATTGCTGGGATTACAAGTGTGTGCCACCAAGTCTGGTTTTATCCTGTGCTGGGGATTGAACCCAGGGCTTCACACATGCTAGGCAAGCACTCTACCAACTGAATTATATCCCCAACCTTGTTTGTTTTTTGAGCCAGTGTCCTTGAGCTCACAATCCTCCTGCCTCAGCCTCCTGAATTCTGGGATTATGGGCATACCCGACTGATTCTGCATTTTTAATAAGCTCCCAGGTGCCCAAACTCCTGATTCTAGGATGAGTGTCAAAGTGCTATGTCCAAATGACTTAGTGGGATCAGGAGGCTGTAGGCTTATCCCTCATATGAAAACTCCATAGAAGACTTGCTAGCCCATGATGATATTTTTGCATTCTGTACATCTGGAAAAGGTGTATGATGATTCAAACTTTCTTGATTGAGGAGGTGCTAGAAACTGAGGACAAATTTAAGTATGTGAGGTAACAATGAGGGGAGAGCATCTAGTCCTCAGATGGTGCAAGAACAGCAGCAGGAGAGAAAGGAACAGAGTCTAATGCTGAGTGAGTCTGATTCTGACTTATACAGACACATACCTGCACACATGTGTTACATGCACATGATGCAAACACATGCATGTGCATACATTCATATACATACAGGCACATATGCACATATATGCACACGTGTACACAGGCAGGCATGTGTACATGTGCATACATACATCCACACATACTGTGTAGTCTAGGGTGTTGTACTTTCCTGATGCCAGTGGATCACCTCATCTCTCTCCTCTTCTGGTCCATGTAGCATACAGCTCAGAATCTCTGTCTGTGGTGAGAACCAGTAGCCCTGACAAAGCAGCTAGAGTCATTGCTGTAGTATGTGCCTCCAAACAGAGGGTAATTAGGAAGCATGCTGTTGGCACAATAAACTGTTCAAACAACGTCTCTTTAATGATTAGCCTAGTCCAGGAGCTCAGGCTGGTCCACAGGTGACCTTTTGATGAAATCAAAGTCATTTCCTCTTGGCTCAGTTTCATGCAAAGGACATGGTATCCTGACTAATGATGAACAAAGCTTCCCTCATTACAGTAATCTATCTCTCTTCTGCTTTTTTCAAAGGAGCTTCTTGCTGGGCGTCTGAACTCTGACCTTGACATACAGCCATGGCCATGGTAAGTGCCTTGCCCTACCTGGTGCCAGCCACAGGCAGGTACAGGATGTGTACTTAGGAAATGGTGGTTTAAACAAAGCTCTGTTTGCTAATCAGCTGGGAGGGACAACATGATAAGGCATTTCTTTTTTCATTTTTTTTTTAGCATCATTTAAATTTATTTCAAGGGTGGTGATTAACTTGATCCAGAAACCTAATTTACAGGTTCCTTTGTGTGTGTTTAACATCCTGAGACTATAGAAACAAGTAGTGCTTCTCTCCATAGAGCAGAACTGTCCATTGTAGAACAATTAAGCAAATAAGAAGGAAAGACATGTTCCAGGAGGGGACTACTTCCCTTCCTTTTCTTTTCTTTGTGGAGGTGGGGCACACATGCCACAGCACATGTGAAGCACACATTACACAGAAGACAGCTTTGTAGAATCCATTCTCTCCTTCTACCTTAACGTGGCTCACAGGATCAAACTCAGGTTGCCAAGTTGAAGGGCAAGAGCCTACACCCACTGAGCATCTCATGGCCTGAGAAGGGCACCTCTTAACAGTTCCTGCTCGGCACAGCCTCCTTCCTTCAGCTGTGATCAGAATCTTGGGACTCAGTGATCTTATCTTAGGACCAGGTCTGAGATGGAATCCCTTTGGGAGTTCTCTGAAGTTCAGCTGGGAGTGGGGAGCTGGGCTTCTGGGATGCCTCCACTTATCATCTGCTCTCCCCACCCAGAACAATGATAAAGTAGAATCATAGCCTGGAGACTCTTACCAGCTCATACATAAACTCCCCTGAACATAAGAGTATATAAGCTTTGGCTAGGCGTGGTGGCACACTCCTTTAATCCCAGCATGTGGGAGGCAGAGGCAGGTAGATCTCTGTGAGTTCAAGGCCAACCTGGTCTATCTAGTGAGTTCCAGGACAGCTGGAGCTACAGGGAGACCCTGTCTCAAAAAAAAAAAGACAAAAACTAAAGAATATATAAGCTTTTTCTTTTAACATTAGACATTCTAGAATTTTCCTTAAAATCTCTGACAATCAAAGACTTAGTCAAGTCTATCCCAAATATCTTATGATTTAACAACATTTATTTCTTGTTCTCTCTGTAAGTGGAGAATGCTTACTCAGAAATGTACATCTTTTCAGTGAGCTAAGTGTGGTTCTAATGCAGTACAAATACGTTACTAATGTGGTACTGCAGTTCCCCACTAGTCCTTGGGGACTCAAAATTAATGGAAGGCTATTCTTTCTTGGGCAAGCTCACAGCTCTCCTGCATGTGAAGATTTGCCACAGTGACCTTTTAGCATTTTGTTTTGTTGTGTTTTGCTTGGTTTGGTTTGAGATGGGGTCTCATGTAGCCCTGGCTGGCCTCAAACATACTATATAACTGAAGATGACCTTGAATTTCTGATTTTCCTGGCTCTACTTCCCAAGTACTGGGATTATGGGCGTGTACCATCACATCCAGTATATGAGATGCTAATGATAGAACCCATGGCTTGGTGTATGCTAGGTGAATGCTCTACCCTCCAAGCTATATTCCCAGTCCATTTTGGTGGATTCTAAAGAGTTACTTAGTTGCTGACATCTTTCCTCCTAGAATCCATTTTTCCATAATTGTCATTTTACTTGGTAGACATAGGAAGTTTTTAAAAGAAAATCGTATGATATAGTCAGTATTGAAATTCTCAACTAATTCCTGTCATTTTATTTTAGAACATTTTGATATGTAAAATAACAGTTAGCAGCACTCAGAATATAACAGTTCTGTGTTCTGCCTCCTTTTCCCTCTTCGAATAGGAAAATGCTTAGAACAAAATGGTAGTGAAGCGGGATTCAAAGGTCATGTGTTCACTCTTTCTCAGAATTTCTCTGTCTCTTCACTCTGGAATGATGCTCTCTGCTCTAGTGGGACCCTGTTAAACACTAGTACAAATTATGAGTGTTTTAATTTTCTTCTTAATCATTTTGATTTGAGTTTTCCAAATTCCCTATAATGTTATGTTTCTATTTCTTCATTTGCTTTTGCTTTCAACTTTTAGAGAGTCTAACTAAGTATTCCAGGCTATGTTCAAACTCACAAACCTCCTGCCTCAGTCTCCCAAGTGCTCACACATGTACTCCTGTCCCAGGGCTCCCCTCCCGCCTCCAGGAAGTAACCTCAGGGTCCTTCCAGGCCAGTTTCCACTCTGTTCTGCAACCTCATCCTGCTGAAACACAACCACTCTTTTTCCAACTTTATCTCCAGTTAGTTTTGCCTGTTTTAGAACATTCTGTAAGTGGAGTCAGAGAATGTGGACTGTGTCTGACTTCGTCCTTGGAGCATGATTTTCTCTGCAGTTCACCCATGCTGCCATAGGGTCAGGACCTTCTTCCTACAAGCCTTTTTAGTGCACACTGGTACTCCAATATCCTGTACTCTGATTCTTCTCCTGTTACCATCTTCCTTATTGATGGAGTAGCAATGCTGTTTCCTCAGTTGTGGTACAGCACCTATGTCTAGTGTTCACTTGTCATTCTTTCCTACATGCTGTTTCCTTTGCTACCACAGCAAGCCTTCCTGGGGACAAACCCCCCACAGACACTTCACCACCCAACTTCCTTGAATAGATAAGGGTGCATTGTGCCCTGGAATTTAATTATTACAGATACTCATAAGACAAACAAGGGGGAAAACCTTTTTAACCTTTTTCCTGGGGGAGAAAAGAGTTACTTAGATTGTTAATAGGTGAACAGAAGCACCCTTGCAAGTTCCTCTATTGATTCATCTTATTAGACATTGTCTCAGAACAGTGTGCTCACAAATGCAGTTTACTTTAAACTTTAACGTGGTTTGAGAACCGTCCCAAAATGTTCAATACTGGAATTCAAAGAACTTCATGAAACATTTGACTCAGAAAGCTAGGAGTGTAGAACATGTGCGAGGCCCTGGCACAACTGCAGCACCATGTGCACAAGTTCATTGGTGTCCAGGGCCTGCCCTGCACTAGCTCCTCATCCTAACTAGTCACATTTACAATGACCCTGCTTCTAGTTAAGGTCATACTCCTAAGGGTTAGGATTGGAGCAACTGGCTGGGGACCAATGCCTGGAGTTGATGTCACAGATCTCTACTGTCTGGTATGCAGAAAGCAAAGACTAAGTACTCACATTGACTGGCATCTCAATAGAGGAAGCCGTGTATTCTGTGGACTTGAGTGGGCTTATGGTCACAGTAGGCATAAAAAGCACAGGTCAGAGAGGAAGTGGTTGCGACAGCCAGGCCGCTGCAATGCAGAGGGAGGAGAAGCAGCTTGAGGCATCATTAGATGCACTGCTGAATCAAGTGGCTGATCTGAAGAATTCACTGGGAAGTTTCATTTACAAGTTGGAAAACGAGTATGACCGGCTGACTTGGCCCTCTGTCCTAGACAGCTTTGCATTGCTCTCTGGACAGTTGAACACACTGAACAAGGTGTTGAAGCATGAGAAGACACTACTGTTCCGTAACCAGGTCATCATCCCTTTGGTGTTGTCCCCAGACCGAGATGAAGACCTCATGTGGCAGACTGAAGGACGAGTGCCTGTTTTCAGTCATGAGGTCGTCCCTGACCATCTGAGAACCAAGCCTGACCCTGAAGTTGAAGAGCAGGAGAAGCAGCTGACAACAGATGCTGCCCGCATTGGTGCTGATGCAGCTCAGAAGCAGATCCAGAGCTTGAATAAAATGTGCTCAAACCTCTTGGAGAAAATCAACAAAGAAGAACGAGAATCAGAGAGTGGAGGTCTCCAGCCAAACAAGCAGACCTTCAACCCTGCAGACACTAATGCCTTAGTGGCCGCTGTTGCCTTTGGGAAGGGGCTGTCTAATTGGAGGCCTTCGGGTAGCAGTGGTCCTGGCCAACCTGGCCAACCAGGGGCTGGTACGATCCTTGCAGGAGCCTCAGGACTACAGCAAGTTCAGATGGCAGGTGCTCCAAGCCAGCAGCAGCCAATGCTCAGTGGGGTACAGATGCCTCAAGCAGGTCAGCCAGGGAAAATGCCAAGTGGAATAAAAACCAACATCAAGTCAGCTTCAATGCATCCATACCAGCGGTGAGTGTGGACACCAGCCTCCACTCCCAGGTGATCTGTGCAGAGTTGGGCAATGAAATTACCTTTTGCTCAAGTCTTATGTAGATGGGTACATTAAAAAAAAAAAGAACAGTCTTTCAGCAACAGAAAATCCCAGCTCCACTGGTGAATAGCTGCGTGACTTTGGGCAAGTGACCTATTTTTTCTGAGCCTGTTCTCATTTGTAAGTGGTGATAATACTTGCCTCATAGGGTTGTTGTGAGGATTAAAATGAGAAAATGAATGTAAAACACTTATCACAGTATGTGAAATAATGGGTCTTCAATAAATGATAGTTTCCTGCAAAAAAAAAAAACAAAAACAAAAAAAAACACAGGTCAGGGTAGTTTGGCACACAGGACCCATGTTTATGAGAACTGCCGTAAAGTATAAGAATCCCATGTTTCCTTAGGTGCCCTGTTTACATTTCCACACCAGATGAAATCATGAGAATCTTCAGTTCTGTTCCATGCTGTTGCTGCCAGTTGGTACTAATACTCTCTTCTTGTTGCTTTGACATCATTCCACTCAGCTTGCACTGAGGAATAGTATAAGAGACAAATCAAAGACTGTATTATATTTATTATAGCATTGTGTCTGAAGCTATCTTTAAGTGATGATGATAATGGTGGTGATGATGGTGGTGATAGTGATGGTGGTGGTGGTGATGATGGTGGTAATGATAATAATGATGCTGACGGCTATCTACTTTCAGTTTTTATTTTGTATTTGCTTTTTCCTGGGTTCCATACTATTATCCTGTTTCATTATTATAACAGTGCTATGAATTGACTCAGTTGTTTGCAACATACAGGTGAGAAAAAGGAAAGTTCCCTAGGGGGCAACTGGAAAAGGTTGAATACAAGCCTCTGATCTGGCCTATCACAATCTGGTTCCCACACTTTGGTGACAAGTGCCTGTCAAAAGCTACTTAAGGGAGGAATAGTTTATTTTGGCTCACAGTTCAGCATGGTGGAGACATCATGGTGGCGAGAGTGTGAGGTGGCTGGTCACATTGCATCCACAGTCAGAAAGCAGAGGGATGAATGCTGGTGCTCAGCTGGCTTTTTCCTATCTCTTAAGTCCAGGACCCAAGCCAGTGGGATAGTGCTGCCCACATTTTAGGGTGGGTCTTTTCACCTTAATTAATCCAATTTAGAAACTTCCTCATAGACATGTCTAGGGTTTTTCCTCTAGAAAAAACATGATTCTAGATCTTGTCAAGTTGACAATAAGTATTAATAATTGTGCTCTTTACGTTTCTTGCTGTGGCAGATGTTGACCACTCCTTCTGCTCTCTACCACTGGATAGTCTCCACAGAGACTCTTCTCAGTCATGTTGATGGTCTGTCAGTCTCTGCTGGATATATCCAGTCTGAGAGACTCAGGCTGGTCCCAAGACCACTGCCCTCATTCTTCATTCCCCCTGTGGACTCTCATCAAATCCTACCCAATGCTGCACACCCTAAATGTGGTATTTTAGGCTTGATCTCTAGACTTGTCCTGTGGACCACTTTGCATGGACTTGGCATGGATGTGGAATGGACTTGGCATTTTGAAAGTAGAACTTCTAAGCCCTTATAGGGAGTGCTCTGGGCCCCAGGCGTGGTGTGCGCAGGTATCTCGGGGTCCCTGACACACCTGGCTAGTCGCGGCGCGGGTCTAGCCACAGGCGTCTCTGGCCGCGGCAGCGGGTGCCCTGCAGGCTTTTCCCGCCTGCTCGGGGCCCGTGTCTCTGTCCGCGCGTCTCTGGTGCTGAAAGTTTCTCTGCTACTGGAGCGTTGTCCAGCCGAATCCTGTCCCTATTTCACCCGTGTACTTTCCCCAGGATGCGAGGTTCACTGGCCACTGAACCCCACGGGAAGAGTATGAGGACGGCGAAAGCTAGAATGTCCGCAAGTCGGTAATGAGGGAGTGCGCCCCCCGGAGAGGCTAGGTCGCCGGTAGTAAGGCACAGGACTCAAGACTCGGCTTAGTCTGTGTTACAGCTTTATTCTCTGAGACCCAGCTCTCTGTGTCCCAGCTTTCTGCGACCCAGCTCTCTCATTATTAAGAGAAGACTAGGATATTTATACCATGGGGGTAGTGGTAAAAGCTTTGGCTGTTAGATGCTTTGTGAGGCATTCTATTTACATATGGAAGTGGGTTTCTGCCAGACTGCTGTCTGCCTGGAAAAATCACACAGGAAAGCATGGTATTCCTAAAGCCAGAGGCCATGTTTATGTTATGGCATTTGTGGCGGGCACTTCAAAAGGAGAGTCAGGAAAGATGCCAGGAAGGCACCCTGCTATGAAAGGAGCCCCAGCACATAATCCCGAGCTGCATGAGCTGTCCGGATGTGAAGGGACTTCTACTTTGCATAACAGAGGTCCCCAACAAGCCCTACACTCATCAACCCAAATCTGGCCACCCTCCCTCAGTTCCCCTTCTGGATAAATGACACCACTCTCCCTGCTGATGCTCACAGACAGCCATTCTTAATACTTTTCTCTCCTCATCTACAGGTCAGTCCATCATGAAATTATCTAGCCTTTGCTTGAAAACATGTGCAAAGTCTGATGTGTTTGTGTCTTAGCTTCTTTCTTTTTTCTTTTTCTTTTTTTTTGGTCTTTTTGAGACAGGGTCTCCCTGTAGCCCCAGCTGGCCTGGAACTCATTATATAGAGGCCAAGCTGGCCTTGAACTCACAGAGATCCTTTGCCTCCCAAGTGCTAGAATTAAAGGCATGTGCTACCATGTCTGGCCTAGCTTATTTCTTAAAAATTTTTTTTTAATTTATTTTGATACGTTTATGAGTATTTTGCCTGCAAATATGTAAGTGCACCCATGCATGCAATACCCATGAAGGCCAGAAGAGGGTGGCTAATCTTATGGAACTGGAGTCAAAGACTGTTAGCCACCATGTGGGTCCTGGGAACCAAACCTGGGTCCTCTGTAAAGGCAGCTGATGCTCTTAACCACTGAACCATCTCTCTAGCCCCCATCTTAGCCTATTTCACCCTGTCTAGCATCACTTCTAACCCAGAGTTTCAGCCCAGACTGTCAACTGCTTTCTAACTCCTCACAGCATCCTGAGTGATTTTTTTTTTTTGAGGCGGGGTCTCATGTATTCCAGGCTGATCTTGAAATCCCTGTGTAACCAAGGATGACCTTGAACTCCAGATTCTCCTACCTCCTGACCCCAGCACCACATTAACCAGATGTGGTGGCTCACAGTTGTTACCCAGCACTAAGGAGGTGGAGGCAGGAAGACCAGAAGTTCCAGTCATCCTCATTTCACGTTTAGTCTGGGCTAGAGACTGTTTCAAAAAAGAAAGGGAGGGAGCTGGAGAGATAGCTCTGTGGTTAACAACACTGACTGTTCTTGCAGAAGACCCAGATTCAAATCCCAGAACCCATATGGCAGCTAACAACTGTCCATAACTCCAGTTCCAGGGGCTTTGACAGCCTCTTCTGTCCTCCTCAGGTATTGCACAACATGGGTGCACTTACCTATATGCATGCATAACACTCATACACATAAAATAATAAATAAAATATTTTTTAAGGCCGGGTGTGGTGGCACACGCCTGTAGTCCCAGCACTTGGGAGGCAGAGGCAGGTGGATCTTTGTATGTTCGAGGCCAGCCTGGTCTACATAGTGAGTTCCAGGACAGCTGGGGTTACAGGGAGACCCTGTCTCAAAAAGACCAAAAAAAAAAAATGTTTTTTAAAGAGAAAAGAAAGGGAGGAGGAGGAAGAGAAAGAAAAAGAGAGTGAGAGAAAGAAAAAAAGAAAGAAAGAAAGAAAGAAAGAAAGAAAATCTATAAAAATATCCATTTAGGGATAGGGGAGATGGTTCAGGTGGTAAAGTGCTTGGCACGCAAGCATGAGGACCTGAGTTTGATCCCCAGCACCCATGTGGAAGCCACATGCACCTGTAATTCCAGCAAAGGCAGAGACAGGAAGATTCAGAGGCAGAGACTGGAGCTTGCTGGCCAGTTAGTCTACCCATCAATGAGCCCCAGGTTTAGTGAGAGATCCAGTCTCAAAAACAAGGTGGAAGGACTGGAGAGATGACTCAATTCTTAAGAGTGTTTGCTGTTCTTGCAGAGGACTAGAGTTCAGTTTCCAACACCCATGTGGGGCAGATTATAACTGCCTATAACTCCAGCTTCAGGGGATTCAGTGCTCTCTTCTAGTCTCCATAGGCACACATGCATGTGCATACACACAGAGATACACACACACATAAATATTTTTTTTTTTAATTTAAGAAACAAGGGAGAGTGATTGAAGAAACACCTGACGTTAACCTCTGGTCTCATGTACACACACACACACACACACACACACACACACACACACATTTAAAAAATAACTATCTGTACCAGGAAGAAATAGCCTTTGCTTGGTGGGTCTGAGCCAGCCCTGCTGCCTCTACCCTCTTCCTTTGTGTGTCTGCAAGCTGTCCCTTCATGCGGTATTTCAAATTTTAAGGTGGAGCAATTGTGCTATTTCCCCCTTCCTTAAATCAGTGTGTTAACAGGAGCACTGGAGCATTGGGGTTGGAAGCTGATTGTGAGAGGGGGATCTGTCCTCAAAGACCTCCAAGGCTGCTGGGTTCTAGTTAGCTTCCTTACACCTTCCAGTAACCACTAACTCACACTCAATCTGACTTCCTCTTTCTCTCTACTCCCCCAGTCTGCAGTATTTTAAAGCAGATTCCAAATATTCTAAGATATCCTATCATTTTATCTCCCATCAGTTGTAGAAAGGCAAACCTTGTGTGTGTGTGTGTGTGTGTGTGTCTGTGTGTGTGTGTGTCTGTGTGTGTGTGTGTATGCGTGTGCATTTTTGGGGTGTTTTTGAGACATCATCTCCCTGTAAGCCCAGCTGGCCTGGAACTCGCTACATAGATGAGGCTAGCCTCAATCTCACATAGATTTGCCTGTTTCTGCCTCCTGAGTGCTGGGATTAAGAGTGTAAGCCATCATACCCAGCTCAGAAGGTGAACCTCCTAAAAAAATGTGCCAGGTTTACATGGTAAATTCTAGGCCAGATGGGGCTACGAGGGAGACCAGGTCTCAAAAAACCAATAAATAAATAAATAAATAAATAAATAAATAAATAAATAAATAAATAAAATGCAACCCTAGCACCATTATCAGATGTGATAATCTTAGGACTGGCTCCTTCCTTTTGATGTTTAAATTTCCAGCTGTCTCATAAATATCTTATTTTCTCACTTGGATTCAGGATCCAAATAAGGTTCAACTCTATGATTGATGTGACTTTTCATTGTTGTATTTGTTTGGTTTTGGGTTTGGGTTTTTGAGACAGGGTCTCATTAGACCAGGGTAGCCTTGAACTAGGTAGTCAGCTGAGGCCATCCTTGAGCTCCTGATTCTCCTACTGTCTCCTCCCAGTGCTGGGATGACAGGTGTGCACCACTACACCCAGCTGTTGCTGGCTGATAATGTCTTTTTTTTGGTCTTTTTGAAGCAGGGTCTCCTTGTAGCTGTCCTGGAACTCACTATGTAGACCAGGCTGGCCTTGAACTCACAGAGATCCACCTGCCTCTGCCTCCCAAGTGCTGAGACTACAGGCATGTGCCACCACACCCAATAATGTCTTTTTAATCTCTTGAAATGCAGCTCCCTTCTACCTCTCTCCTAATCTTTGCAATTTATTGATTGAAGAAACTAGATTGTTAGTTGGTTTAGCATTATCCTGTCTGTTCTTTTTTACAGTGAACTGGTTTTTGGTTCAATGGACTTCACTGAATTCAGACTTGATTTTTTTGCATCTTTGGGAGATTACTTCACAGGAGGTGGTTTGACTTCTACCACTCTTCTTCCCACTAGCTTTTGGCCTCTGTCTAGCCAGGAAGCTAGTGTTACAGAGTTCAAGACCACTGGGAAAAGACCAGACCCAATTCAGATTTTAATTAACCAAATTTTATTACTATAGCAAGACTGACAGTCTCCAGAGGTCAGATAAGAGACTCAGCGAAGCTGGCTGGGGGTGGGGGGCAGCTTTTTAAATATATTTTATTTATTATTTTTATTTTATGTGTATGAGTGTATTGCCTGCATGTATGTGAGTGCACCCATGTCGTGCAATGCCGTGGAGGTCAGAAGAGGGCTTCGGATTCCCCTGGAACTAGAGTTAAAGACGATTCGTAGCTGCCATGTGGGTGCTGGGAATCGAATCTGGGTCCTCTGCAAGAGTAGTCAGTGCTCTTAACCGCCGAGCCATCTCTCCATCCCCGGAATGGAATCTTTTTAAAGGCAGAAACCATAAGCAGTTGCAAGGATAGTGGGGTCACACTGCCCCTTAAATGCAGCAATAAGCAGGTTTACAGAAGCCAAAACAAGAAGTTGTTAGTCCTTTTTTTAACAGATGTATAGGGATCTTGACAGTAAGGGGCTTTCTGATTATTATTATTTCAGCATATTACCAAGAAAGACAGCATATTGTTTAGGTTATTTTCCCTTGGGTGGGCAAGAAGCATGGCTGCAATGTCTGGGTGGCGATACTCCTTTCTGTGGTCAGCTATTTCTAAAAGGAAAACAAGCTTCTGGGGGAATATCTTATTAGAACTAAATTCAGACCTTGATCTGGCTGCTTCTCTGAAATTTTTAATTTTTTTTTTATTTTATTTTATGTGTATGCCTGTATTGCCTGCATGTAGGTAAGTGTACCATGTTGTGCAACGCCCATGGAGGACAAAAGAGGCTGTGGATCCCCTGGAACTGGAGTTACAGGACAGTTGTTAGCTACCATGTGGTTGCTGGGATTCAAACCTGTGTCTTCTACAAGAACAGCCGGCATTCTTAACCACCAAGCCATCTCTCCAGCCTCACTTCTCTGATTTTTAAAGTCTAAGGTGGCTACTTTGTACAAAATAGAGTTGCTCTAGTCATTACATTAGTTTCAGTCCCAGGGCCTTTGCACAGCCTTTCTCCACCCTACCTCTTGCCTGCATTGTTGCATGGCCAGCTGCTTCACATTAATCAGCTCACTTGCTTGTCCCTCCTTAGCGCAACCCCCTGTAGCGCCTCTCACCCAGGCTCTTTATGGACTGAGCATTTTTGGTGAACTCACTGTCAGCCTTCCTCAGACAGAGCAACAGCTCCACGGGGAGAGCCTCATCCCTTATGGCCACTGCTGTTGCCCTGGCACCCAGAGTAGAGTCTGGGCTCTATGAGTGCTCAGCAAATGTTTGTGAATGACCCCTCAGTCATGTCGTTCTGTGTCACTCAGGCAACCAAAGGAGGAACCGTAAAAGCTGCTGCTGGATTCAATGCTGTTGAGGATGCCCAGACCCTGAGGAGCGCCATGAAAGGACTCGGTGAGTGTCTTGAAGGGCATGTGAGGAGCAAGTCACACTCCCCCCTCTGTGATAAATTCCAGAGACTAGAGAAATCAAAATAGTTTTTGATAAACCATTCTGCAGCAAGGAACACCCACAGGGAGAAAAGGCAAAAAGGGCTGGTGTGCTCTTTTGGCATCAGACAGAGGTTTTTGAAGTCCCTGACTTGAGAAATCCCTACCCTCTTTCCCCATAGACTGGAACTCCAGGAAGCTATAATCTCCCTGCTCTTCTAGCAGGGCATCTTTGCCAGACTCCCCATCCTTCAGGACACTAAACCTTATCTAGTGAATTCCTGGAGCCTTTCCTGATCCTGGGCTGTCTTTAGGAGACTGCCTGTGGCTCTCAAGTTCAGAGACAAGCAGGCACCTGCCACCAGCCAAGGGAGAGAGGGACCTAGGCCTCCTGCTTATCTGTGTCTCTGATGAGCTCTAAGCATACCTTGCACTGAAAATGGATTGTAATGATTTATTTCTTACAGATGTGAACTGTCCTTTGAGTGTGGTATGTCAGTCACAGAGGAGTATGGGTTTTGGTATTCATGAACAGGTCACCTTTTAAAGAAAATACAAGCTGAGCCGTGTGTGGTGGCGCATGCCTTTAATCCCAGCATTTGGGAGGCAGAGGGAGGAACTGTGAGTTTGAGGCCAGCCTGGTCTACCTAGTGTGTTCCAGGCCAGCTGGGGCTTCAGGGAGACCCTGTCGCAAAAAAAAAAAAAAAAAAAAAAAAAAAAGAAAGAAAGAAAGAAAACAAACAAAAAAAGAAAATACAAGCTGGGCATGTTAGTGCCTGCTTTTAATCCCAGCACTGGCGAAGCAAAAGGAGGAGGGTCTCTGTGAGTTTGAAACCAGAGTGGTCTACATAGTGAGTTTCAGGCCACCCAGGCCACCCAGGCCTACATAGTGAGACCCTCTCTGAAAAAAACAACAGAAAGAAAGAAAGAAAGAAAGAAAGAAAGAAAGAAAGAAAGAGAGAAGAGAGAGAGAAAGAAAAAGAAAGAGAGAGAGAAAGAAAGAGAGAGAGAGAGGAAGAGAGAGAAAGAAAGAGAGAGAAGAAGAGAGAGAGAAAGAAAGAGGAAGAGAGGGAGAAAGAAAGAAAGAGAGAGGAAGAGAGAGAAGGAAAGAAAGAAATAAAGAACGAGGAAGAGAGAGAGATAGAAAGAAAAAGAAAGAGAGAGAGAAAGAAAGAAAAAAGAAGAGAGAGAAAGAAGAGAGCAAGAAAGAAAGAGGAAGGAAGGAAGGAAGGAAGGACAGACTGGAGAGATGGCTCAGCGGTTAAGAGCACTGGTTGCTCTGGCAGAGAACCCAGGTTCAATTCCCAGCACCCACATGGTGGCTAACAACCACCCTTAACTCCAGTTCTAGGGGATCCAATGCCCGCTTCTGTCCTCCATGGGCATTGCACATCATGGGTGCACTTACTTGCATGTAGGCAATACACTCATACACAAAAAATAAAAATAATAAAATATTTTTTAAAAAGAATGGAAGGAAGGGAGGGAAGGGGTGAAGAAGGAAAGGAAGGAAGGAAGGAAAGAAGGAAGGGAGGGAGGGAGGGGGAGGAAATACAATGGGTATATAGCTGGGGATGTGGCTCAGTTGGTAGAATGCTCACCTAGCATGCACAAAGCCCTTGAGTTCAGTCCCTAGTACTGCAAAACACCAACAGCAAAAAAGCAAAAACAAGGGCAACAGATTGGCTTGTCAAGACAAATTGAACGGGTATGTTAGTCACTTTTCTGTTACTATAGCAACATGCCTGAGATAATTATCTCAAAAGGGGGAAGGGTTTATTTTGGCTCCCATCTTTGGAGATGTCAGGCCAGGATTGGTTGGTCCATTGCTTTGGGGCCTATGCTCAGGTAGCACATTGTTGAGGAAATTGCTTCATATTGCAGCCAGAGATGAAAAAGAGGAATAAGATGGGCTGGGGTGGGGGCCTTTTATGAGCATACCCCTCAAAAGCCTAATTTCCAAATAAAAAAGCCTATCTTCCTCTACTTAAACTCCACCCCTTACAGTTTCCACCACCTCCCCTCCCATTAGCGCTTCCTCTTGGGGCTGCAGTGACTGTGCAATTGAATCAGTACAACAGGCAGGTGGGGGTTATATGGAGCAGGTTGGGGGAAGAGGCTCCTGGGCATGACCCTGCAGTATCTTCCCGAGGCTGGCACACTCATACAGGGTTCACTGCCAGCCACCCTGGCTATGTTCTGCCTCTAAGGCCTGCAGGACACCTGGACAGAGAAGAGTCCTCTGTTCTTAGATTACTAAGAATCTGAAGATCTCTGTAATTTGGGTAAAGACACTTGCCCTCAATCTTTCTGAAGTTCACTCTTAAAAAACTTTTATGTTATGTGTATGAGTGTTTTGCCTGCATAAATCTAAGTGCACCTGTGTTGTACAATGCCCTTGGAAGCCAGAAGAAGGCATCAGATCTCCTGGAACTGGAGTTACAGACCGTTGTTAGCTGCCATGTGGGTGCTGCGAACCAAAGCTGGGGTCTCTGGAAGAAGCTGAGCCATCTCTCCCATCCCCACTCTACCCCCAAGTTCATTTTACTTACTCTGTGCTACTAAGAACAGCAACCATGGTAGCAAGTGTTTGTTAATCTCCAGTGTCAGCTGGAGGACCAGGGCTTTAACAAGACTCATTAGTTTTTAACCCTGAAGGCTTGTTTATGAGAGGCTGGGGTATGGGGATGTGAAAGACTGTGGGGAGGTGAGCTGACTCGCCTAGGCTCTCAGGACTCATAAGAGTCAGGACTTTGGGAACCTGCCTGTGGGCAACTTCAAGCAAGCTAATTCTGTATGTAGCAAGAACCTTATACTTCAAAATAATCACCATAAGCATTGAAAACTCTGAAAGCAAGACTCAGGAGACAGTTGGCACAACCAAGCCTTTTTCGGTGGGCTATTGGAGGAGAAAAGAATCATAAAACCGAATCCTGGGAGTTGAGCACAGCTCACTGCTAAAGTGCAAGACTGCTCTGGGTTCAATTCCCAGGGCTGTTGAACATATAATCACTTCCTATGTAAAACCTAGTCTGGTGGTCACCAGTCTGTGAGCTGGATGGGTGCTGGCACAGCTAAGGATGCACCAAAATAAGATGGACAAGGGTGATCTGGGGGCAGAGTATGGGATACAGTATTGGTAGAGCGCTTGCTTAGCATGTGTAAAGCACCCCAGCACCACATAAAGTAGCAAACCTGTAATCCTAGCACTTGGGAGGTCAAGGCAGAAGCATCAGGAGTTCAAGCTCATCTTCTGTTATATAGTAAGTTTGAAGCCAGCCTTGGCTACATGAATTCCTCTTTTGAAAAAAAAAAAAAAACCCAAGTGGGTTTCAAGGAGAGGAGATTGATCACCTTTCATGTGGGAGCGTCAGGTAAAAATGCTTGGAGGGGGTGGAATTTAAGATACCCTTGAGACTTTAATAAAAAATGAAGATAATGTTTCTGGTGAGTGGAGTATACACTGAAGCTTAAGACAGTCACAGTAAATGCATGGGGTGGTGACTCATGGGGGAGTTTCTTGCTAAGCTGGAGCAGGCTGGCTGGGAACCTCTGGAGATGGCCAATAGCAAAGGGAGGTCCTGGAGCTGCTACCAAGAAAGCCACCCATGGAATCACAGATGGAGCAATGACCCAAAGGCACTGGCCAAGAAACCACATGCACCAGAATCCGGATGCTAAGTGGAGGGGCCAGGGAAACACTGAAGCCAACATACTGGTTATGAAGGGTTCGGGTGGACAAAGCACAGAAATTCCAGAGCTGAATCTGAGCCAGGTATGGCGCACAGCCAGACAGACACTGCACTAGGGAGGCCAAGGCAGGTTTGAGAGTTCAGAATCAGCCAGAGCTACATAGTGAAACCCTGTCTCAAACAAAAAGAGCTAAATCTGTGGATCTAGCTGCCCCTCTCCTTTTCTATAGATATTCACAGCAGAGAACATCATACTACACAGGGCCTTAGACAGTGGCCTGAGTAAGCCTAGCTGACCATGGGGATGTTGTGTGTTTCTAAGCAGAGAAGAGCTGAGAGTTTTTCTTTTAGGAATATGAACTTAGCAAGACTCTGGAAAACCTAATTAGAAAGTAAGAAGTTGGGACTGGAGAGATGGCTCAGCAGTAAAGAGCACTGATTGCTCTTGCAGAGGACCTAGGTTCGGTTCCCAGTATCTACATGGTGGCTAACAAGTGTACATAACTTCAGTTCCAGGAGATCCAGCACCTTCTTCTGGCCTCCATGGGCATTTCATGACACAGATGTATACATGTATGTAAAACATACACATAAAAATAAAATTAATTAAAAAGAAAAGTCAAGGGGCTGGAGAGATGGCTTAGCAGTTAAGAGCACTGGTTGTTTTTGCAGAGGACCTGGGTTTGATTCCCAGAATCCACATGGCAGCTAACAACTGTCCTTAACTCCAGTTCTAGGGGTTCCGATGACCTCTTCTGACCTCCGAGGGCGTTGCACGATACGGGCACACCTACCTACGTGCAAAAATATGAAGTAAAAATAATAAAAATTTAAAAAACTAAAAAACAAAACCAAAACAAAGTCAAAAGATATTTAGAAATAGGGCATGGTAGTACATGCCTTTAGTCCCAGCACTCAGGAGGCAGAGGCAGGTAGATCTCTGTGAGATTGAGGCAAGCCTGGTCTACATAGCAAGTTCCAGGCCAGCTGGGGCTAAAGGAAGACGCTGTCTCAAAGTTAGGAGTTTCTAACAGCCTTAAAAAGAAGCCCTGAAATCCTGACTATGGTAATGTGTGGAGCTAAAAACGAGGTGTGGATACAGAGGAGGCAGAGCCAGAGTTTGCATGGGTTGGCAGGAAGTTTGAATGCAGAGGAAGGGAGAACACGTTTTAAAAACAATTAAAGATAATTTGAGGGTTCAAACAAGGCCAACTTTAGGAAAGACGATGGCTGTCACATATGTAGCACTTGAGCCAAAGGGACCAACCTTTCTTCCCAGCTCTGAGTTCTAAAGGTTGTATGCAAATGTAAAAGCTCTGTAATTTTCCCTATACCTCGTGTTTTCCTGGATCTCAAATGAACTTATACAATTTCTCCCTGCAGTGTTTCAGCAGAATAGTTTTTGTAACTGCCAGAGCTGTTTCTTCCAACAAAGAAACAGAAAACTCCCCAAACATACATTGACATCCAGCTGTTGCAAAGATGAGATCCTCCTGCCTCAGCCTCCCAAGTGCTGTGTTTGAAGGTGTCTGTCACATCTTGCTTCAAGGTTCCCTTTTCTTAGCAAGCACTCAGTAACTCAGTGTCCACAGAGGAAACCACTTTTTCATGCCTCAAATCACAGTCCCTCACTGTCTCCATTCTGTCCCCAGGCACCAATGAAGATGCCATTATTGGAATCCTGGCCTACCGCAACACAGCCCAGCGCCAGGAAATCAGGACAGCCTACAAGAGCAACATCGGCAGGGTATGCACAATCTCTTCTGATCTTACAGCTGACCAGGGACTTGTCAGGGAGCAAGGAAGCAGAGCCTTCCCCTGAGCTAGACTCCTGAAGTGGGCCCATGTTTTGTGTTGCTTAAAAACAGTCTGGGGAATAGTAGTTACCTGAGTCTAGGAAGAATCTGGGGCAGAGGGGGCAGGAAGATGGTGGTTAAGGACTACAGGAACTTCTAATGCTCTGTAGCATCATAGGATAACTGTGATAGAACAGTAATCAACCAAATATTTCAAAATAGCTAGCAGAGAGGATTTTCAGTGTTCCCAATGCAAAGAAACGGTGTCAGGTGTGGCACTTACTTGACTGAACATCATATGTGGTATACAGGAATTGAAATGTCACACAGAGCCCCATTTATTTACACAATAACCTCTGTGACTTCACTGACACTCATGACCTGAATGAGCAAGTGAAATCCATCAAAGAACTGGGTGACCACATGAACAACTTGCACAAGATGGGAACCCTCAAATATGTCCTGGTGGAATATCTCTTTGACAAGCACACCCTGGGACACTGATAATGAGAGCTAAGCTGACTTCCTTGGAGTGATGTCACTGGTCACCAGAACAGGGCATGCATGTCAGGCCTGCCATTGCCTTTTCTTTCCGGGAGTTGCACCAAGACAGCTACTTAAGTTTTTAAATTTGTACCATTCCTTCAAATAAAGAAATTTTGAAAAAACTCACTTCAAAACAAATAGATAGATGATAGAGATAGATAGATGATAGAGATAGATAGATGATAGATAGATGATAGATAGATAGATAGATAGATAGATAGATAAGATAGATAGATGATAGATAGATAGATAGATAGATAGATAGATAGATGATAGATAGATAGATAGATAGATAGATGATAGATAGATAGAT